TTTAGGGACTTTATCTGAATTAATTCTCTTCTGTATGATCTGTGTGTAATTTTTCCTATTTTAATTCCCTTTCAAAAGCCATTCAAGTTTCTCTTATAAAGTTATTTGCTATTTTGAATTATAAAACTCTTATATAGTATGCAAAGGAGTAGAGGGAGCTAGTAACCTTGTCTTCAGAAATAGTGTATATGGTTGGCACCAAAAAAGAAATAGTGTATTTGATTCATAAGAATAATTTTGTTGAAATAGTGTATTTGATTCGGATAAATAGGATTAGAATGTTAGACATTGTGTTTTGATGATGATAAAAATAGTTCTTTTTTATAACCCATTTAATTGATTATTCATTTTAAGTTATGTGAGATTTTGGACATACCTGAAATGCAATGCAGTCAAGTTCTCTTGATACCCATATGTGATCCCGTCATAATAATAGAGTCGAATATCTACATAACTTTAATATCTGTAGCATAAAAGGAGCTGAGCTGATCTCATTTTCTAACCGGCATTGGGCTCTGACACTCTATGCATGCTCTTTATATCCTCGACTAGAAATCAGGGAGAATGGTAATAGAAGATTCAAATTTCAAATTTTGAAATTCCCTCCACCCTCATTTTTTCACCATTACTTCCGTCCTTCCTTTCCTATCTACCATTTTTAATTTTCCTTGCCCAAGTATCCCTCCTATTTCTCTGTTTTTCTATTTCTGCATCTCTATTGTGCTAACTATCAGTCATGAGTTTTCTAATCTCACCTCTAATATTGCTACTCTTGGTTTAAAGGTAAGATTTCTCCATGTTCCTCTTCATTTTTCTCATGCTTTTTATCCCCATTTCATTCATCCTTTTTCTACTATATTCTTCTTCATCTAATTATTTTCCATCACTTAATCTATTTTATACTTCATTATTCTCTCTCTGTTTTTTTTAACTTCTAGAACATTCAGGTCATCCATTTGAATAGATCAAATACAGACAGCAAGTCACTGGAGAGTATGAAAATACCGCATTTAAAAAACAAGTCGTTGTATTTAGAACAACTAATATTGTGTATAGGAAGGTCTTTCAAAATTGGCATATATCAGTTTGTTCTTTTGTTTAGCCTGTGTTTATGTTCCATTGAATTGAATCATTTCTTTCCAGTGAAAATTGGAAAATTGTAAGGGAGAATTGCCATAAAGTTTTAATTAACATAATTATTTAGAAGTTTTATTAATAATAGAACATCTTATAATAACAAATTTTAGTATAGTAAACAACAATTTCTTATTTGCTTTAAAAAAAATTTGTATTTTTTTTTCCTTGAGTTGTTAGTAATTCTCTCAAATTATTATGAGATTGTTATTGATTGATGCTTTAATCTCAGTCACTATAATGTATACATGGGAGTAAATGCTAGTTAAGTTTATAACTTTATCACATCAGGTATAATTTATAGAAATGACATAATAACTATTATTGAGTCAGTTTACTAAGAAACAAATGTCATAATTGCATTAAAAAATATTAACTTTTAAACTTTGATAAAAAAAAATAAAATATATTTTTTTGGCCAAAAAAATAAAATATATTTTAAATATAACGTGAAAATGTAATTAAATAATAAAAATAAATTTAAAAAAATTTATAATTACATTATAAATAACTCTTTTTAAGTAGGCTATTAGTTAATTGTTTTAAAGACTAAAGTATACATTTAGTCATTTAACTTTTTACAAGATTTTAGTTTGGTACTTCGACTTTAAAAAATATATTTTTAGTTCTTTAACCCTAAAAGTACTAACAAAAATTAATTACATTGAGTCTTGAATGTTAATAAAACATATTCAAATGTTGACATATTAATTTTAATTTTCAAAACAATCATGACCATTTAAAAAAATTTAAGACTAATAATTTGAGAATTAAAAGACTAAAAGTGTATATTTTAAAGTTAAGAGATTAAATTAAAAATTTAATAAATCAAATATATAACAAACCTCATTTTTGAATGGGGGAAAAAAGAAATTAGATCACCCCTTTTTTTTTGCTAAAGCATAGTTATCCTCTTATTGGAAGCAACCTCATTTGAAGTACTGTCAGGCACTAAATGTGGGCACCTCTTCTAGTAGAGATTCGAATTTTGGTTCATCATGTTTTGAGGGACTAGCTCCTTCTACTAGACCTAATTCCTATTGGTGGATCACCCAATTTATTGCCATGGCACAGCCCTCATGGCATAATTCAATTTCTGGGCCTTCAGAGGCCCAATTGGTTTTACAGCCAGGCATCATAATTCCCTCCACATTGTGTTGCTCATCTTTGCGTATTCCTCGTTTCTCTCCCTCTCCTCACTCATTGCTCTCTGCTTCAACTTTAGGGTTATTTGTCAAACCCAAAATTATTTCTTTCCTTACTTGTTCAAAGTCACATTTGCTTTGGGTGCTCTCACTCTCTCACTCTTCTATCTGAATTCTTCATACAACAATATATTTTCTTATTATGGTTATATTAGCTGGTTTAAAATCATAAATTATTGTTTTCTTTCTTTTGTTATGGTATAAGAACATCATATAGGGTAACTTTATTGAGTGCTGCTATTAATCAGGTACTTCTCTGGTCCCCTGTTTTTTTATACAAGGGAAATTAAAACTTACAACAACAAAAAAAGGCTAAGGGGTGTCTAGTCCCCTGTGTCCAAGTGTTGAAAATTGGCAACCGTATCCAGACCCAAAACCTAGAGCCCAAAAGGGTTAGAGATTGTGCTTTTCACTAAAGTATCTGGGATGAGGTTCTCTTCCTTGGTTATGAAACACAACTGCATGTGTTAGTCCCATTGAAGGAATTCTTTGGCTTGTATGATAAGATCAAAATCTTCATGAAGGTCAGGGGTATCACTCTGCAACAGCTTTAGAGCTTCTTAGGAGTCAGAACGTAAAGGGATGTTTTTATATCCTGCATCCCAAGCTCTCTTTAGGCCCATAAGACAGCCCCAGATTTCTGCTGTGAGAGCATCACCATTCGGTACCTGAAGTTGAAAACCTTATATGATGTTCCCTCTCTTATTTGTGAGAATCCCCCCACAAGCAACTTGCTAACTTCTTATGGAAAAAGCTCCATCCATATCAACACAAAGGATGGCCTTATTCGATGAGGTGGGCTCCTTGATGGTTGGTTCCCGACTGATCATAGTAGTGGCTTCTCTTAGTTTGTCCTATGCGTGTTTCATGCTCGTTAAGATTACCATGGCTCTAGGAAGTATACTCATTAGGTCTCTTTGAGTGTTTGAATGAACCGGTCGTTTTGATCTTGCCAGATGAGCCAACACATGATGAGAAAAAGAGACCTTCAATCACCATCCTGTTGACCCACTCTGCATGTCATATTCAGCTTAGACCATTCGGGTGCTGAGGAGCAGAAAAATCTACTCTAAAACGATGGTCGTATTATTGATTCCCAGAGCCTTTTGATGCTTCTACAATCACATAGTGCATGAATACCGTCCTCCTGTTTGAGATGACACTAGTCGTACGTGCTTGATGGGTGGAGATTACAGCATTTCTTCATAGCATTCGTTACGAGTCGATCATGCAAAAAGAGCCATTCAAAGATCTTGTACCTTTGCAGGGTTTTAAGCTTCCATATCGGTGACCATCCTCTTGACCCAGTATCGCTTGATGGGTTAAGAGAGCTACAAGTAGATCGTACTGTAAAGGATCCACTCTTCTCCCATTTCCACCGAGCATAGTTATTACTGATTCTGTCATAGCCAATATGAATGCCATTTTCCATGTTATTCCAGTTGTATTTGATTCCGCTCCATGCGTTCGACCTTGCCTTTCTTTGATTGATATGGGGAAGCAACTCATCACCGCATCCATATTTTGCTCTCATGACCTATACCTAGAGAGAGTCTCTTTCATTGATGAGGCCTCACCTAAGCTTCATCATGAAGGCTTGGTTCTGTTGTCTGATATGCCTTATTCCTAGTCCCCCATATTTCTTCTCTTCACAAACCTTCTCTCAAGAGGCCAGATGCATTCGTCTTCTTTCGTCGGATGAACCCTATAGGAAATCCCATGATTTCTTCTCAATGCTTTCGTAGATAGCAGTAGGAATATTTGCCATCTATATTGCGTATGTCAGCATTGCAGTGATAACTGATTTAGTAAGAGTTCCTCTACCTGCAAAGGAAAGTCTAGAAATTTGCCAACTGTTCAGTCTGTTGCAGACTTTATCCAGGATAAAGTGATACGTTCTAGGTGAGACTCTGTCATGATGCAATAGGACCCCCAAGTATTTGCCAAGATCCATTGTGCTATTAAACCCCAGACTGTCACTTAACTCTCTGGACCACATGTGATTGATATTCCTGGAGAAAAACACTTTAGTCTTAGCAATGTTGACTTTCTGACCAGAGACCTCGCAAAACACATGCAGAAAATGCTTAATGGTATCCACTTGATCCATGCTGGCTTCTATAAATAGTAAAAGATCATTAGTGAAAAATTAGTGAGAAATAGAGGGCCTTTCTTACCTAGTCGTATTGGTTTCTATCTATTTGCAGCAACCTCCTCTTGTATCAACAAGGCTGATTTTTCCATGCATAGGACAAATAGGTAAGGAGATATGGGGTCTCCTTGTCTCAATCCTCGTGATGGGGAGAAGACATCAGCCCCTTCCCAGAGGATTTGGAAAGAGGGAGAGGAGATATAGGCTTTGATAGTCTCTGTGAGGTTGCTTAGCATTTGTAACTCCTCTAGACATTATAGAATGAAGTTCCATTTTATGTGATCATAAGCCTTTTCTAGATCAATTTTGATTGCCATGAATCCTTTTTTTCCTTGCATTGTTCTCATGGAGTAAACAACTTCCTCAACCACTATAATATTGTCAGAGCTCATTCGCCCCGGCACAAAATTGCATTGGTTCGGGGGGATAACCTGCAGCAGGAGATGTTTGATACGATTAGCAAGTACTTTGGTAATAGTTTTATAAATAACATTACACAGACTTATAGGTCAGAAATCACAAATGGTTTTAGGATACTCCCTTTTCAGAATTAGGATAATAAAGGTATGGTTGAGTTGTCTAATGGAACTTGGGTCTTGAAACGCTGTTCTGACTGTGTTGATCACTGATTGCCTGATAGTATCCCATTGATTTTGAAAGAAGAGAGGGTTCAACCCATCGGGTTGTGGGGATTTAAGAGGACCCATGCTGAATATAGCTCCTTTAATTTCTTCATTAGAGATGTCTCTCTGAGGATCCTGTAAGCACGTGCTATCCAGAGGAGCAAACTGACAGTGACTAAGATGAGTTTCAGCTTTCTGAGAGTTGTTCTTGAAGAGATCAGAGAAAAATTCCGTAGCCAAGCTTTTGATCTGATCTGTGTCATCAACCCAGTTCCCTAATTGATTTTTTAGAGCTTTGATTCTATTTCGGCGTCTTCTCCCGTTTGCCTGAGCATGGAAGTACTTTGTATTTTTATCCCTAAGCGAGAACCAGTTGCTCTTAGCTTTCAGGGCCCACAAAATGTCTTCCTTAATGAGGATGTCTTCCAATTCCAGCCACAGGTTCCTTTGAAGCTTTTCAATTGACAAAGTGTAACCTAAGGGTCCATAGTTTTTTTCTATGCCGTCTGATTTGCTTAAAATTCTATTTTTCTGTTTGCCAAGATGATCGAACACGTTATGACTCCACGTTTTAACTTGCTCGTTGAAGTTTTTAACATTTTCATCCCAACCAGCACCTGGTTCCCAAGCATCCTTTACCCGCCTAGCAAAGTCATCATGAAGAAACCAAGAGGTCACCACCTGGAATAGTCGTACAAGCTTCGTTGGTTAAGTTGAAGTTGGGGTAAGGAGGATTGGTTTGTGATAAGACTTCAACCAAGGAAGGTGTTTCACCTCGCATCGTCAAAACTTTCTTTGAAGGTTTCGTTGGCAATTACTCTATCAATCCTTCTCTCATAGCCCTCTTTGTGCTAAATAAAAACCGGGCCAATACAGCCCAAGTCACTGAGATTCATGTCATCATACCATTTAATGAATTCCTCGTCTATAGAGCACGGATGGCTGGCTTTTGATCGATGCTCTTAGTGAAACAAAGTAGTGTTAAAGTCTCTACCAATAATCCAAGGGTGGTCGTCTAAAGGTCGAATCTCTTACAGTTCTCTCCGTAATTGCCTTCTGCAAGCTATATTTGTGCTAGCATACACTGATGTAATGAATATTTTATTGTTCCCCTTTTCAGTGCAAGCATGGATGAATTGGTTCAACTTCTTTTCCACAGACACTTTCAAACCAACTTCATTTCAAGCAATCCAAATGCCCCAACATTGTCTGTTAGCATCGATAATCTCAAATTTATCGAAACCAAGACTTTGGCATCTTGTACGGGCTTGGGATCTACTACATTTTGTTTCAGATAGAGCTAGAAATTCCACATAGTACTTTTTCCTTAGTTCTTTAATGAGCACTGGGAGGGATTTGGAGCCCGTTCCTCTACAATTCCAAAAGAGGCATATCATTGAAAACTTTCTGATAGGGGTGCATTGCTTACAAGTCCCCAGTTTTTTGTTTTGCTATGTTGAAAGGCAATCAGGTGCTGCTCCTAGATATTTAGCGACGTGGTGCATTCTAGCTGGAACAACTCTGGTCTGGGCCCACTTGAGTCTTGAGTATCCATATCAGCTCGGCTATATTCTTCTCCCTCAGGTTTGTTTTGTTTGTTTTGTTCTTCTTCCATAGGGCCCAATTCTATGTCGTCCGTAAGAGCTTGGAATGGGTTAGGAGAGCTTAGGAAGTGTCCATTCTTGGTGCTTGGTGGGCTAGCAGTAGGCCCAGTCTGAAAGGGAGGAGTTGTTAGGGAGTTCTCTTTGCCTTTTGCGTGGTTCCTTTTATTCCTGCAATGGCCCATGGGACCCATTTCTTTTAGTTACTGACATTTTTGCCAAAGGATCTGGTCATCTTAATAGTCTCTGCCAAAGATAGCAGTCTCTGTTATGTCGATACAAGATTCTCACTGATTTTCTCATCAATAATCCTTGATCCTCTCCCATCATGGGTGTCAACGTCTATATTCCTTAAATTCCTATTCTCATTACTTCCTTACGAGATTCGTGTATCAGTCCTTCGTATTGGTCCTTGTTTTGCAGCGTTGCCCGAAATACGTCTTCATGGTTGTTGGACTAGGTTCTAGGTTCCAAACCCCTCTCGTTGTAGCTATGGAGTGCTACTGAAGGTCCCTGGATTTCTATCGTTTTCATCTTTTGATCTCTTTTCTCCCTGCAACTCGGATTTCTGTTCATCAGACCCAGACAGAGTGACTGGTTCCTTATCTTTGGTCCCTTCATTATGCTTCTAACTCGGCTTCATCGAGGTTGCCTGTGGCTCTGCCTGCTCCTTTCTATCATCATATGTTATCTCCTTATCGGGGCAGGACTCACGATGATGGCCATACTTTTCGCGGCAGAAGCAAATTAAATGTAAGCCTTCATATTCGATGAACCTTTTCTGACCAAAAATATTGATCGCGGCCTCTAGCCTCCTCTTTAGGTCTACTTCAACACAAATACGAGCATATCTCCCTCTTTTACTAGTATATGTGATTCTATCTATCTTCAGGGTCTTCCCCATAAGGTCACCAATCTTCCTTAAACTCGCCGCATTGAGAAGTTCCAGAGGTAGCAGAGGAAGTCGAACCCAAACTGCAATTTTCTTCTGTAACTCCGCATTCCAGGGATCGAAGTTTGGTCGCCATCTTTGGACTACTAGATATTGATTAGAGAACATCCAAGGCCCATTATGATAAATTCTGTTCATATCTTCTTCCTCTTTGAAGGAGGCTACGAAGTACCCATTGTCGATGTCTCTGATGGTTATGGGACTCGATGTCTGCCATTGTCGCTTTAGACTTGTTCTCAAGGCCCACAGAGGAACTGTCTTACCAAGAAGTTTCATGATAAGTGATTTTCTCCATGGAGCACACCATTCCTCGTATTATTCTTTCGTTACCTTCAGTAGTGGGCAATCTTCCTCCTCTGAGTTCTCAGTCTCATGACCACCATCTGTGTTTTCTCCATCCTTGTTGATGAAATAGCATTGTAGACTAGCAATGTGTTCTGCCTAGGCCTCATCAAAGACACTACTTCCTTTTACATCCTTTGTTATTTGATTCACAGACTGGCCTAATAGGGATTCCTTGAAGGTCCTGCCTTTGTCTCCGGTCCCGTCCTCTCCCAACTAGTTGTCCTTTTCTGCCTGAGTCCACGACTGAAACTTTTTCCTCATTCTCTTTTCTTTGTCCTTTTTGTCATCAATCCCTCCTCCATCGTCTTCGTCAGAGCATTCGTTCATTATGTTTGCACCAAAGATTTTTCGAGGTACTTCTTTGGTCCCTAATATAAGATCTAATTGTTAAGTTGATTGTGATCCTAAGTGTAAGACCTAATTCATATATTTATCAATTTTTTCTAGACTACCTCTATTGATATTCCCTCAATCATAATCAAGTAAGAGAGGGAATAAGGATATTAAGAAAGATTATTATGGTATTTTAGAAGAAAAATGTCATATTTTTTTATAATCAATTAGCTTCCTTAATCCAATCAAATTAATTAAATAAGTCTTACATTAAGGGTCGAAGGAGTATGATTTATGGTTAGAAATTATTTATCTGGAAAAGGGGGTCATTAGTGTCAGTTATATGTGGCTTTTAACGACAGTTAAACAAGGAATGTGATCAGGGTGACATAGTTTCAATGAGTTTCTAAGTGTATCAAAGGCCTACATTTATGTAGATTTTAGTAGGCTCAATACTTATTTATTAAAATATGAGATATTTTTAAAGGGTTATATTATAAGTAGACTTTTACCCAAAAAAATAAATTTTCAGGCGTATTAAAACTTTTAAATGCTCAGGCCCGAATCTTAAAAAACTTGTATGTAGATTTGGATCCAAATTCAGACTTTAAATTTTCATTGCAAGTTCAGGCCTATTTCGCCAAAATCTCATTAATCACTTTGACAAATTATTCCCCACCAAAAAAAAAAAAAATCTCAGCTGCAGGCGAGGTGGCTGCTGGGCTGTCATTGGAGCTCCGAGTGTCACTAGCTGGATGGGGCAATGTTTTCTTTCATTTTTTCCTCTTCTAAAATAGCGAGGGCAATAATATAGAATCACAAACATTTTATAATCCCATTTTGCTGTCTTGGATAATTTGAGATTACTGAAATTTGACACCTTGATTTCATTTTTAAATTTCCAAAATATTTTTCTGAAAATTTCCATATCCTTTTGGTGGTTGCATGTTTCATGGTATAAGATATGTGGGAGGAAACAGTGATACATTAATGGCCTTATTTCAAAAATATCCCTAATCAATTAGAGATTCATATCAAGTAAAGGATATGTATTATTTATAGTAATTTTTTTATAGACAAAGTTTATAGTACTTTTAAAAAAAATATGATTTAACTAACAGTGTTAATAAGGATTGGGCTGGCCCTAAATGACTAACCCTTGAAGGGTTAGTACCTAAAAGGACCAACCTTTTTATGTTATTTTTTAAAATTTAAATTCTTTTTAATTATTTTGAAATAAAAATAAAATAATAAACTTTTAGTTTTTTATTAAAATTATATATATTAGTAAAGTAAACTAATATTGTATAGAAAAAATCAAACACTAATAAACAATTGTCCAAATTCAAAAAAATTAAAACCAAATAAAACACAGAAAGCAAAAAGATGAAATCAAGTAGGAAAAGATTACCAACATTAACATGATTATTATTTTCATCTTCATTACTATCATTAAGATGAACAATATTTGATTGTTCTCTGCTACAACTTATAAATGGGCTCTTCTTCAATGATAAAAATATTAAGATTTTTGTCTTCTTTAATTTTATCTAAAGTGAAACTATGTAGTAGTTACGAGTACAAATGAAAGCTTAAATATTTGTTACAATAAGAACTTTTATACTTTATTAAGACATGTGAACCGATAGTAAATGAAGATTAACTAGCTACTTTAGTGATTAGAATTCTAAGAATATCAGCCACCATCCTTGAAAAATTAAAAATTAATTTAATTGTTATTCTATTAGTTCAAGACATCTGATTCTTTTCAATTATTTGGCTTAACTATTGGCTTTTCTAAATACTTTTCTAGTTCATATTTATCCATGAAAAGACTGATCTATAATTACATAAATATATTGATAATAACTAAAAAAGTTGGGCTTAAAAGAGCTAGTCCTTGGCCCTAATGAGCTAGCCTTTGTATTTTTGAGCTCTAAAAGGCTGACCCTTTTAAACTTAATTTCTTTTTAAATCTTCTAAAATACAAGCTCAGCCCTTCATTTAAAAGAGGCTTGAACATGCTAGCCTAATAGACTTAGCCCACTTTGACAACTCTAGATTTAATTATGTTTAACTTTTTTGGGTTCCCTACCCGATTCACCAGAGTTTTGCCCTGACTATGTCTGGATCCGACCCCCAACCCACGTCCCGCACCTAGATATGGTGGGTGAATCTCCCAGCAGGGGTTTTCTGCATCCATGAAGAATCGAACTCGAGACCTCACTTAAACGGAACCGAGCCGCTTACCATTCGGACCAACCCGTTAGTAATTAAATTATCTAAGTCTCTTAACATTTGAAAATCTATACTTAATGGAAATATGAGTGGGCAGAATAAAGTGCGACCAAGGTAGCAGATCATTCGACCGAACTGGCGTTAAGCGTGGCACCTGGTGTTCATCACATTTGGTACCTCGAGGTTCTTCAATGGGTAACTTAGGTGAATCAACAGGAGTTCATTTAGCAAAAAAGATTAATTTCTTACAGTGTGGCAAACTAACGTTCAAATCTTCATTGAAAGAGATATCAATATTTAGTGTATGACAGTATCTCGAATATTATTACATTTAATAGGCGGATACCTATATTTTAGCAAAAAAAAAATGTAACTTAAATGGCTTCCCTTCTTTCTTGCTTATCAAAAAAAAAAAAAAATTTTAAAAAGGCAAAAACACGTGGCCCAAATAAATTAAACATGGTCTAATGTCGGTAATGGGGAACCAAAAAAATATACTCCATTGGTCCTAAATATGGTCTAATGTTAGTAATGGATCTTATATTTAAGACTGGAGGAGCATCATTTTGAGAATGTAAATCCTTCAAGCTTCTTTTGTTGGTTGAAGGATACTTTTACTAATTTGCATCAAGATAATTTTATTACCTCGTAAAAGGTATTATAATTCTCATCAACATCATTTGGGGGGGGGGAACAAAGAGAAACTTAGCTTTGCATGAAAGATTTGAGACAGAATATTATTGTGGACACTTTTGCTCATAATATTATTAGACACTCAATATGAACATATTTTCTACCAAAAATTTGAATATTAATTTTTCATAGTTTAATGGATCAGCTTCTTCTGATCCATCACAAGCCAACACACAACCTGCGAGTTGGCTCATATTGCCACTCCTATGTTTGTGTGTTGGGCCCTCCAATTTCTATTTTGATCCATGAGCAGTCAGGAGGCCTTTTATGGTATAATCCTTTTGTTAGGTTTTTTTTCTTTTTTGCAAAGTGTCTTTTTATGGGGAAAAACATCATACTTAGAAGCCACAAATATCAAGTTTGTGGGCATTGCTAGCTATTTTGTGTTGTCTCTTCATTCTTCTCAATGGGTTCGTTCAGACTATGAGTACTTTGTAGGGTTGGCCAGAAAAAGAAAGAAAAACTTCGATGTAAGGGTGACACAAATCTGATCGGGTTGAGTTTTCTTGACACATCGAACCTATCTTTTAGGCCCTAATCTTAGCTTGGTTGGGTTGGTGGAACCAAGTCAAAGTTTCTTCTTCTTCTTCTTTTTTCAAATGACAAAAAAGGTCAAAGTTCTTAATATTTAAATTTCATATATATTCAAGTAAAATTGTACATTGCTGGGTAAACCTGGTTTTTCGTGCTAGTACTTCAAAAAATGGCTTTCATGTCAGTTTCAAACACGATTTTTAGTCAAAGAAGTCATTCACGATTCGGTTTCTTAACCTCTGTTTTTCTTTGGCCACCCCCCTCCGGTTTGTTCAACCTGATGATACGCTTAAGCTAGACCAGCTTAGCTAACTCCTCATGTTTATAAGTATTTACAAGCACCTTTTATAAAATCAAGACAAAAATTTTTTTATATACTTGTCTCATATTCTATAAATCATAATTAAAAAACTGCTTATAAATTATTCCAAAGGAGTTATAAAATCTGTTATTTCCTGGAGGAGCTATGATATCAGCATGAAAGATCCATGAGAGAAGTACACTGCTAATGTGATTGAACTGAAGCGATTAGTGATAACTGTGGACATGGTTTGGAACAGCCAAGACTGGTAAGAGTGTGCGTTAGGTTTAATTAATAGTAGTATTTTCATAAATACAAGATTTTATCTAAGAAGTGTCCTTTTTAAAATTTTACGTGTTAACAATTTTCAAGAAGGAAAACCCATCAGCAATCCTTATTATAGTTTACCCCCCCCACCCAAAAAGAAAACCAAAAAAAAATCTGCGTATTTTTCAAAATCAAAAGAAAGAAAACAAGAAGAAAAAAAACAAAGTGATATATATATATATATACACACATATTACCTGTGCTATTATATCAACTTCGATGTCGAATTGATAAAGAGTTCTCATAAAGACTCAAAATCAAACCTTCATCACCCCATGTTGTCTTATTAAGGGAGGAGTTCCGTTCTCTTCTCTAACCCTTTAATTACCCCAAATAGTAATAGATGGCAGTTCTACGCAAACTGTGGGCTTTGAGAAGCTTACTTCGGCGCCATTGATGAGGCCCAGAGCGGCAATGCCAAAGAGCCCACAAGCCTTAAGACCCATGGCTAATATCTCCCTGATCTTTGCACTAGTTTTACAATTATTTGGCTCAGCACTCATGG